CGAGTGACTGGAAATGACACACCCACAAAATCACACACACACACACACACACACACACACACACACACACACACACACGACTCTGTCACTCATAAACACACTCCGGATCCATGCAGTATTCCAATACGACGTCTCTCTTTGGCTCTCACTGTCAGCTCTGATTAAAGAGGCTAATCACTGCGACTCTGAAAATAGAAGGGCATCAGTGCTGTGTGTGGGTATAGAGATGGACGTCCTATAATAATCATCCATCAGAATTTCTCAGCCAACGCAATTATTGCAGAATATCTGCGCCTGTATGTGCGAAATCGCTTAGATCTCCATTGACTACATCAGTGATTCTCAACTGGTGGGTTACGATCAAAAAATGGGTCACAGGTCTTGCAAAATGCAAGTAATATAACTAACCATATAATCATGCACGGTTAGGATAGAAAACACTCCCCAATCAAACTTGGTGCAAATTCATGTCATTTGGTAGAAGCTGTAGTCCAAACAGGGAGAAGCTAAATGGACAGGTTGCATGATGCCCAAAATCTGAAAACGAAACTTTGCAAGGTAAAAGAAAATGCAACCTAGAAAACATTAAATATGAGTTGAGGGTTTCGTATTGTGTTGGGTTACCACATGACATCTAAACATACAGCATAAAGCATATAGTAAATAGCATATAAATGCATGGCATTAAACTGAGGCTGTCCACATGTGCTTAATACTTTTTTATATTCTTTTTTTTTTGTATTTTTATTGCATTTATTCAGTTTTGCATAATTTGTTGAACTGATGAAGAAACAATGGAGAAGATAACCATGAAAGTGCATAGTTTCACCTCAAAATCAAAAGAACAGAAAACATTGCATCAAGACAATTAACCTCATGAAGATTTATCTTATGTGCATTGTGATATAATTTTTTTTTGACAGCAACCCCACCAATTTATATGAGTTTGTTTTAAACAGATTTGGAGAAATTGAGCATTATATTTCTTGCTTACCAATGGATCCTCTGCAGTGAATGGGTGCCGTCAGAATGAGAGTCCAAACAGCTGATAAAAACATCACAATAATCCACAAGTAATCCACGTGACTAATCCACTGATGAGCAAGTGATGGAATGCTAAATTTCTCAAAATCTGATGAAGAAACAAACTCATGTATACCTTGGATGGCCTGAGAGTGAGTACATTTTTGGATTAACTATGGATTAACTAATCATAAAATAGCCTTCACATACTTTAAATAAATATTCTTATTGAAATATATTTCTTTCTTTTGATTTTGGGGTGAAATATGACCCAGACATGCTTTGATGTTAGATGTTTCTTTAGATGCTGAAGTGAATGTCTTTGTCTTTCTGTTTTGTTGTGTCTAAACGCACACACGCACACACACACACACACACACACACACACACACACACACACACACACACACACACACACACACTCACACACACACAGCTGAGTTTTATACATGCTCACAAAACAAGGGATCATCAATCAGATATCAAAGATGAGCTTCAAAGCAGCTTCAGATCTGTGATGAACTGTAGTTAAAGTAATGTAAAGACAAGCTCTGGCTGTCGATCGTCCATTGATTGACTGTTCTTACAGTGATCTGTTTTTAATACTGAAGGCTCAGAGGGCGTTAGGACTCCACTGAGTTCATTTCATGTGATTTCCAGGCGTTTCAGTAAACTTCATCATTCAAAGATTTACAGCAGAAATTAATGGTGAGCTTCAATACACCTGTGGCAGCATATAATAGGCCATAACTGACAGCTCAATCGGTAAAGTCCACTAGCGTACTAATACTTCTCATTCAAACTGGCATAAGTGCCTGTACTTATTGTGATGGACAGTTGCTGATTTCTAATTTCCATTTTCTGTCAGTCATATTGCAGTGTTATTCAAATGTATCATTTTTCAAATCAATGACATTTCTCTGTTGATTGGCAGGTTTGAGACATGAGAACATGAGTACAAGACCTTCCCTCAGCAGTACTTAATGCCTTTGAGAATAGCACACAGAATTTTTGTTCAAGTAATCCTTTAAAAACATCTGATTAGACGGTAAAAGAGCCTTGATGGCTTTCCAGTTGGCAAATTCCCCGTAATAGTGTTTGAACCCCAATACCTGCCTCAGTTCCTTTGCCAAATACCACATTATCCAACCTCACATGATCTCTCAGCCTTTGAACCAGCTCATTCCTTGGCAAAGCATTTTTTTGATCGCTAAATGGTCAAATATGTTTTATTTAGTATTAATATTGCTTGTCAAATACAGGCATGAACAAATTAAGGATAAAACTATGAATGCTTCTTCCACGTTGGGCACTTTGATTAGTGCTACTTTTCTAATAAGGAGACAACGGTTGAAGTGCAGGCTTGAGATGAAGACATTTGAGACAATTACGGAGAGAAAAAAAAAGAAATCAAGAATTCAAAGTAAAGTTAAAACAAATAGGCCTATTAGCTAATAAATTACAGTAGTCAGAGTTAGAAACGTGTGTTTTAAGAGAGTTTATTTTCTTTGAGTTCTGCAGAATAATTGATCAGTTATTGATCGTTGTTGTAAAGATTCAACCATCTGAAGTGCCACCATTTTCCTTTCCCAGGGGCGAATTTATTAGTTTTATTTGTTTGTTACTTTATGTTAATGAGCCGAACCGTAGCCATAAGAAAGCTACGAAGCAACATCAGCTTAAGTTTATTAATATTCATAAGCAAACCTTCCTCATAGGCGCGTTACGGAGCAATAGAATGCATGATCTAATTAATATTCATGAGCCGAGCGGTAGCAGCAGCAGTGGTAGGACGCGTCCCGGTGTGAGGCGGTGCTGTCGGCGAGAGCTCAGATGCCTTCACAGAGCTCAGCAGAGACTTCTGAACATCTCACACACTGAAATGACTCCTGGATCCACCTGACTCGAGAAGTAAGATCATGCTTACGGGTTTCCTTACTACACATGACCATGTCTACAAGCAGAACTGCGAGTTAAGGTAGCAAGTGAGTTTGACAGAAAGTTGTTTCAGAAGATTTTTCAGCATGATGTCTAATATTTTTGCGTGGTTTTGAAAAATTGGTTTCCATTGGCCATGTCTGTTTTAAGGCTGTTTATTCACTTTACAATTAATGACAATGATTTATTGGAAATATAATTGTTGTGGTGTAAATAGTAATGTAAGCGCAGGCCAGTAGAGGGCTACCTGTTATGATTTACAAATAGTCTGCCTTTGTTTCGTTTATGCGTAATGGACATTGTATCATGTATATATATATATATATATATATATATATATATATATATATTATAGGCTACATCAGAATTCTTAATGATTAAGCTTTGAACTATGTAGGTGGTTTTAGGATGGTTTGATATAGATTTTTTTCATGCTAATTCTCCATGCAGTGGATGGAAACTTCAGTCTTATCAGTATGTCTAGTCAGGAACAGATATTTTCATCTTGCCGGCATGAGCAAGTTTAAATCAGGAGTTTAGGTGATGCAGAGGTTCAGCACTTAGCAAGACTGTTATATGAAACTGCATTTTCTCATACATCTGGACAGACCACCCTCATATTTTCATTAATAACAGCATAACCTCTGGCCTTGTCATAATTACCTCTGCATGTGATTTCTCCTCTGGCTCTCTTCAGCTCTTTGTAAAATTATATGTTAATGTGCATTCCATCAGAATGTGTACAGAAATGACTTGAGGAGCATATTTCACTTTTTTTGTGTGTGTTTACTATTAAAAAAGGAATTTGTGGCCGGACATATTTGAATAATTTTTTAAAATAGCAAGTCGATTTTAGTTTGCATTACAGGCTTTTTTTTTTGTTAGACAGTTTGTATATGCCCATTCTATATTTATTGTCTGTTTTGTACATTTTAAATGCATACTAAGTCAATTCTCAATTCTAATGGTCTCATGGTCAAATCAGGTCTCATGAAGCAAAAAAAAAAAAAGACACAAATGAGATCATTGTTGACATACAGTAAGAATATACAGCTATGAATTATAATTGGTATTGCCACATTGAGATTGATGACTTTTGATTGCAGACTTTGGTATCTTGGTGAATTTGAGCATAGTTTGAGACATTGTTGAGATCTCTTCTGAAAAGCTATGGAGACACGTGCAATGTTACTGGGGTGTTTTTCTCAGACAGGAGAACCCGGAGACCAGGAAATCTCCCTTTTCTCATTTAATCTCATTGTTGTGTTGAAGAAACAACTGATGCCACAGATCTTTTTCTTGTTTTTGAAAAAGTAATATTCAGACGAACAAAACACATGTATGTCAAACTTAGTTACAGACAATGCTTTTCATATGCTAATCAGCAGTCAGGGTTTAAAATGAATATGTCTCTGTCTCACTGGCACTAATCGGCTGTATAATCTGGGTTAGTACAGGGGTTACTGGATAAAGAAATACCCCAGTTACCATATTCCCCAATGGCTACGAGCACCGTTTCAGCAGTTATCAAACATTTAGAAGTGCGTTTTAAAAGTCTGTTACATGAATTATTGCTGCGGCAAGAACAAAATCATTAATATTTCATGTAGGGGTTGAATGAACAGAACTGACCCAATAGTCATGCTATCGAACGATGACAACAAACCTAAATTCACCTGCTTAAAAAAATATCCTTAATGTAGTTAGTTATTGATGTATTTACTAAATTTATTTAATGTATGCAGTTAATGTTTAAATGTACTTTTATTAATTATAAACATATATTTAGAGGTATTTTTAGATAAAATATTAACATTTTACATGAAGTTAACCCTTACGTTTACATGGTCTTTTTGTAAATGATTTTTTAGTGCATATATTCAAATAAAAAAGTCCTAACATTTTTCACATTGAGCATTCCGTTTCACTGGGAAATAGGTTATGTAATGGAAATAAAATCCTAATACGTTTGGTTGCTAGTGTGCTTCTTGGTGGTTGTTGTGGAATTTTAGGTGGTTGCTATATTACTAAGCAATAGTTCACCCAAAAAACTCAAATTTACTTATCTAAAATGTTTCTTCATCAGATTTCGAGAAATTTAGCATCACATCATTTACTCACCAGTGGATCCTCTGCAGTGAATGGGTGACAAAACTTCATAATAATCTAAAAGTAATCCTCTCGAACACTCGCGGAGATTCGTCCTGTAGAAGGCTCGGCTCCGAAGCGAAAAGCTGATGTGCGTTTGCACGCGCTCTCCTTTTATACCCGCGCTGCGGGGCGGGGTGCGCGTGGCGAAGCACGCACGCCAACTGTCATTGGCTTGTTTAGTTAACACTCGAAGGTGATTGGGCTCTCGGGCGAGATCCCAATTCGTCAGTCACTGACGTAACGTTGAACGTGACTGACTGAATGGGAACAAATCCATCATTAAGTGGTTTTAACTTTAAACCGTCACTTTTGGGTCCATAGGCTAATCTATAATAATGCTTTCTCCAGTGAACAAGTCCATCCCCTGTTGTCCTTTCACATCTAAATCAACCCACATATTTGTTACATTTAGTGGTTGACCGATATTGTTTTTTTGACAGCCGATGCCGATGCCGATATCTTGGAAAGCATAGTGGCCGATATAAAGCCGATATAATTTTATTTATTTTAATTAATATTTAAGAAATTTTAAATCATTTGAAAATAAATTAAAATAAATGTGTAAAATAAACATACTTATACTTTAAATGAAAAGTATTTTTCTCAAATAAATAAATATTTAATAAAAATAGAATTAAAAAGGAAGTAAACAGTGTAACCAACAGGGCACTCAGTAATCTGGGAAGTTTGTGTGCATTGGGAATCATATCTTTTCAAATAAAGCCAAGGTAACTCTCATTTTACATACAGCACACAGTGAAAATTACATGAATATGACAGTGGGCAAAAGCATGAAGCGCAGGATAATTTGAAATCGCGAGTTTAAAGTTAGTCGATCGTGCGTCTCCAGTGAAGCTGAACTCTCCTCCTGTCCACATTCAATTCGCACGGACTGACCGTCACGCAGAGAACACGATCATGCAGGATACAAATGCACGCTTCACAAGATCGCACAATTAAATGTTCATTATTCATTCAAAGATTTGTTTAAATGATATAAATGCGTATTTGCTGAATGCTGACAGAAAACGATAAAGTATTATGTTTGCCTTTCTATTACTAATAATATAAAAGCAACTGTTGTATATAAATAATACTTTTTTGTATATATTTTAATTCCTTTGTTTAACAGTTCTATCTGATTATTAGACAGATTTCTGTCCGTATTAGACAGAACTGTTAATGACAACAGCGAACAAGAGGGAGAATGTGAACACTGTGCACTCAGGCGCTGCCGTTCTCAGCGCCGGTAAAATAAATGTCCCGCCTCGAACGCATTGGCCAAACAGAAAAACTGATCGGCCGTATTTGAAAAATGCCAAATATCGGCCGATATATCGGCCGTGGCGATATATCGGTTGACCACTAGATTAGAATTGTTTTGGACTGTTTTTGCTTGTAAACGGTGGTTTATCTACATATTTCTCTCCTGATTCAGATAAGATGACTTTTTCACTGGAGAAAGCAATATTATTGATAGAGGACTCGTAACTGTTTGAAGTGATGTTTTAAATGTTGTAATGTTTGTAATGTTTTTATCAGCTGTTTGGACTCGGCACCCATTCACTGCAGAGCATCCATTGGTGAGCAAGTGATGTAATGCTACATATCTCTCCAAATCTGTTCCAATGAAGAAACAAACTCATCTACTTCTTGGATGGCCCGAGTGTGAGGACAGTTTCAGCAATTTTTCATTTTTGGGTGAACTATTCGTTTAACAGAACAACTCATGAAACTAAGTTTTGGTCTATAAGAACCATTCAATTTAAAAGTTTACTCAAAAAGGTTTGGTGCTGTCAAGAAAGTGACTCTATGGCCCTAGTAGAGTCTCAGCGATTTTGACAGGTCACCATTGAAATGTGATACCAGAGTAGAGACTTCCCTCTGTCAGCTCAATTAGTCTCCTCGACATGACCCTTCAACCCCATTCTGTCAGCCCTCGCTCTGTTTCTCTCATATCTAGCATCGGTAAGTCACTAGAGTGGAGACAGTGTGCAATTTGAGAAACGCAAACGTTGCAGAGTTGGACAAGGACACGGTGGAAAACTTGCTCTCTGAAAGTGTTTGTAACCTCAAGGTTCTTTCTTTCAGAGAGCCATTCGAACTCAGCGTCTTGATTTAAATCATCATTCAATAGCCGCTGGTCCATTAGCTGTCCTAGACACATTTATTTCATGTGGAATCTATCAGAAATGATCTGAGCTGGGTGCTCAAGACACAAGACTTTTACTGGAGGAAAAACTTTCCTTGTTGAGTCTTTCCTTGAAGTGGATGTTTGCTCTTACCTCTTATATATTTATATTAACATTATACACTACAGTTCAAAGATTTGGGGTCCGTGATATTTGTAATGTTTTTACAAGGGGACTTTTCTGCTCACCCAGGCTGCATTTATTTGATCAAAAATACAGTAATATTTTGAAATATTATTATAATTTAAAAGAATTGTTTTCTATTTGAATATATTATAAAATGTAATTTATTCCTGTGATGCAAAGCTGAATTTTCAGCATCATTACTCCGGTATTCAGTGTCACATGATCCTTCAGAAATCATATGCTGATTTGGCATGTAATGCTTCATTTCTTTTTTTTTTTATTCAACTCTCTTGGTCATGTTGAGAAGTATTCATTGGTAAACATTATTCTGAATTTTTTTTTTAGTTAAAATTAGTTTGTAATTTCTTTATCTTGCTCAGGGGTCAGCTGATGAGGGAAATCATCACATCAAGAGAACACAGTGTAGATAATGTAGAATATGTTGATTATAATGGGAGTGTCTTGTCATGCAGAAATGTTCCACATGCATCCAGACATGTAAGA